TTGCTGCTGGATGCAGAATGGCTCAGGAAAAAGTCGTGTTCTCCCTTCACAAACATTTCTGTTTGTATTGAGACACCAGAGAAACCAGCACAAATAAACATGATACCAGGCTCACAGTATATGCTGAACACACCAGTTCTGGAAAAACTTCAGTCCTCCAAAACAACATCCATATAAATACATAATATAATACCCTTTTTATAAATCTCCTGGCAAGTATAGGAAGTGTTGCTGGAATCCCCCATATCTGCTGACATTTATCTGATGGTGATGTGCTTCTGGTGAATACCAAAAAGAAATAAAAGTCATTGCTCAGAGCAAAAATATCAGCTTGCAAAAAAAGTCAATGTACAAAACCCCCTAGGTAAGTATGTGTAAAGTGCAGCGCCAAAAATAAATGGTACGTAAAGTGTGCATATGATGCAAATAAATAAAATGTTCAATTTATAATAAATAAATCAAGTGATTCATAAAACCCATCAAGTGAATCCAAATTGTGATAAAAGAATCAATTAAGAGTCCATAACTCAATAAATAGATAAATACAAAGTCCATCAATTCCTTACTAATATAAATAATTTAAACGTTCCACCAATTCATAAATATGTCTGTGCAAAAACTTTCACCACTTTATCCGTGGACTATCAAATCATTCAGTGACTTTCAGATCGTGCACATCCCCAAAACCATCACCAACACTCCCCACTCACCAGAGAGTATAGGTGCGCAATATGACCAGAGCCAGACAACATTATCATAGTGCAGTATTTTATTTATAAAAGCCCACATAGACATTTCAGCATGAAACTTTCATTAAAATCCAATCCAAAGCAAACAAAGTGAAAGCTGTTGGCACTAACAAATATGGCCACCACTTGAGCTTAATGTGTAGGCTTGACATCAGCACTCAAGGCTTCTCCAAACGTGTTTCATGCCATGGCACGTCTTCAGGGGTCCCATATTTGTAAGTGCTGACAGCTTTTACTTTCTGTTTGCTTCGGATTGGATTTTAAATGAATGATTCATACTGGAGTTTGTATGTGGACCATTTATAAATAAAATACTGCACTATGGTCTGTGAGCACTTCTTATACAGCCACGATATCCAGTTGTTGCCCCCAATGGTGGAGCCATGTAAAGTGGGTTACTGCCTTAAGGGGACCAATACCTACAGAGGAGAAATGGATCCTACCTTGGTTGATTCATAAAGTGCTTTAGTGCACGATCTGGAAGTCACTGAATGATTTGATTGTCCATGGATAAAATTGTGGAAGTTTTTGCAAAGACATATTTATGAATTGGTGGAACATTTAAATTATTTATATTAGTAAGGAATTGATGGACTTTTTATTTATCTATTTATTGATTTATGGTCTCTTTATTGATTTTTTGTATCACAGTTTGGATTCACATGATGGTTTTGTGAATTTTCACTTGATTTATTTATTATAATCTGAAAGTTTCATTTATTTGCATCATTTGTACACTTTATGTATAATTTATTTTTTGGCACTGCACTTTACACATACTATTTGTGAATGTTTAGCCCAATAAATATGCCTATAGAGCTCTCCATAGTGCTGAAACTGTGCTTCTAAACAGGTGCAATGTTTGAAAGATTAATACTTCCATTTTATTTTTATATTTTAAAAGAAGTACAAAAATGGGCATGCGCCAACGTCTTCATTTATATGAGCACAGGATACCAGGTAGCATGCAGGCTGGTGTACCAGTAAGTATATGGCTCATGTGTATACCAGTCCCCATGCCCTTGAGGACCAAGTACTAGGCACCAGAGGTGTAGAAGAGCCTATTGCCCATCACAATATTGTTGCGTTGGGAGGAATACTCCTTTTTTGAGATCCCTTACAAAGTCCCTGTAAGTATGCAAGCTGATACTAGAATGATCTCATATGTAAGCCCTTCTAACAAACTAACATGAACAACCTTCAAACAAATGAAGCCCCTCTCTAGTATTCCACATGCAGCATGACTACTTTACTCTTACTTGTAATTACCACATTCATTTATTTAGGTGCCTTTGCCAAAATTCTGTCTGAACGCTTCTGTGTGCTGCCTTAGATCCTCTCTCAGTTTGGCCCAATCAGGCGAACATTAAAATGTATATAAAGTCAATTAACTTTTTCTAGTTTTTTGTAGAGTTGGTAAGGGTTACACCCCTTGTCAAGTTTCTATTGTTGTCTGTGGGCTTATTTCACTAAAGAATATCTCATCAGATATTTGTATCACGTGACACATTTTCCCCAAAAATATCTCATGATATAATGAAAAAGTCAATTCACTATCACCTTCTGAGATATTTACCTCAAAAAAAACAAAAACGTTTGGTAAATGTCTCATAAAACAGCATTAATGTCGATTCACTAAAGGAAATAAATAAATTCACGAGTTAAATAAGTAGTGTTTCAGACATGAGGTATTTAAGGAATGTAAAAATAGATTAGCCAATGTGGAGTAGTCTCTACCTTTTTGGACCAGTTTCTCAAACAGTAATGCATAGAAACCTAAATATGGAAAATCACGAAATAACTGGGATTGATTAACTTAAATAAACTAAAGGCAAACCTTTTTAGGTTTTGAATAGAGTGGATAAGTATTAGAACCCCTGTCAGGTTTTTATTGCTGTCTGTGCCCTCATTAGGGATATTCACCCTCTCTATTTGTCCTGTTTACTATTATCATTGAAAGTAAAAAAAAAAAACACATTTTGGGAAGGCCCCAGGACAGTAATAGAGGGTAAATCTTGCAATGCAGACATTGGTTCTGGGGGTCCTCAAGGGATTATTTTAAAACGTAGGGATTTCCTCTCACTTCCTGTTTTGGCTATGGGACAAGACGTGAAGGGAAATCTCCCCAATGACAATATTGTCCTATTTTATTGGTGGAAGAAGGGTATTTACAGTTGCAAGAAAAAGTATGTGAACCCCTTGGGATTACGTGGAGTTTTGCATGAATTGGGCATAAAATGTGCTCTGAACGTCATCTAAGTCACAACAATAGAAGAACACAGTCTGCTGAACATAATACTACACAAATATTAGATGTTGCCATGGTTTAATTGCACATAACATGTAAACACTCGCAGTGCAGGGCTGTATGTTTGAGTCGAATGTTAGTTTAATGCAAACATCAGCTGTTCGCATGTTCCACAATGCCCTGCGCCCTGACAAAGGGGTGACCCCGCCCCCTTGTGACGTCATCGCACTATTTAAGAACTGTCATCCTGGTGCAGCTGTCAGGATTTTTTTCTTTTTTTTTTGGGTCGGCAGTGGTGGCGGGCATTGTAAATGATGTTGGATTGACTTCGAGGGACATTTTTAACATTTTTGTTTTTAATAAAGAACTGGTCAAAGACTGTCTCCTGTCATTTTTACACTACGCTTTTTTTTTTGTGAATGGGTAGCAGTACCAAGTACCCCATACTCATTCACATAGAGGTGGGGCCGAGATCTGGGGGCCCCCTTGTTAAAGGGGTTTTCAGATTCCGATAAGCACCCTGCTCACAGACCCCCACAACCACTGGCCAAGGTTGTGGAGAAAAATGCCCTTGTCCCCATCAACATGGGGACAAGGTGCTCTGGAGGGGAGCTCCCCTGCCCCGAAGCACCCCCCCATGTTGAGGGCATGTGGCCTAGTATGGTTCAGGAGGGGGGGCTGGTCCTCCCCTTTCCTTACCTGCCAGGCTGCATGCTTGGATAACGTCTGATATGGATTTTGTGGGGGACCCCCATACCATTTTTTGTTAAATTTTGGGGTTCCCCTCAAAATCCATACCAGACCCGAAGGGCTTGGTATGGATAGGGGGACCCCAAGTGTTTTTTTAAATCACCCCGCTGACAGCTGAAACAATAAAGAAAGTGCTTAGTAACTGTGCTAAGATGCGGTAAGATACCACTTAGTGAATTGTCCATTCTGTTCAAAGTTTGCGGTCAAACTTTCATTATGTTTGAATGTTCTACCGCGAACCAAACAGTAGAGTGTTCGGCCCATCACTAATATGTGTGTGATTTTTTTATACTATTTTCATTCAATATTTGACATTTATAAAGATATTTTGTATATACCTAATTTAACATAGTTGTTTTTGATATATCACGTGTGTTCTGTGAAAGCAGCTTCCATATGCTGCAGGGACCGCACTGACTTAGTGAGTTGACATATTTCTACGGTTTAAACCATTTCACCTCTTTATTACCAATAAAAACTGACAGGTGTTCTAATCCTTCTCCACTGTATCCATCCCACTGGATATTACGTCATGAGATAAAATACTGCATGGTTTCATGGGATAAATACCTCACATTTTGATGAAAGAAGAGCTTTATTTTAGTAGTGTTTTTTTGTAAATTGCAAAAAAATGTGTTTTGAAAAACACTATGGGGTATTTTATCTCAAATTTTAAAGAGGAAAATTACTCTTCATGAATTGAGCCCCGTATTCTGCTGGGGATATTCACCCTCGATTTCCTGTTTCAATATTTTTATTAGGAAAGTTCTGTTTTTAAGAATATAACAAGTTCAAAATACGCCCTCGCGGGGGCAGAGCAGAACAATAACACATAAACAGAGACATCCTGCTGACTTGTAGTAGTCAAATAACGAAATGTCCAATGACATCAAGAAGGGACGGCAAAAAGCCAAACCAAATAGCAACAGTAAGCCAACATAATTCACCCTCTCTTTTTGTCATGGTGGCCATAGTCACCAAGAAAATGAAATCCAATCATTCTGAGTTGCCAGAAAAGGTGAAGAAAACCCATAATATGGACACTCTTTCCAGTGACAACTCTCTAGGAGTGGATTTTTTTTTGGGGAAACAGCCAAAAATAAACTGGGTGGTTAACCCTTCCTCCCATCATTCTATGTAAAACTGAAAAAATGTTTTGGCTTAACACACGCTTTTATTAATTCATGACAGCGGTAAGGATTGAGACATGTAGACATCCTGTCAAAGTGAACATTTTTATCTCTACTTCATTCTTTAGCAAATGGACCTTGTGCTGGTGCCACAGAAAGCCCATGGAAACTTCTTTGAGGGAGACTGCTACCTCTTACTGTATGTAAGTGCCTGTATGATAAGTGTCTATACAATATACAGAACTGTCCTTGGCTTTTGTGCTGGGCAGGGATAAGAAGTAAAGCATAACCTTTTTATACACAAATGAACAAGAAGTCGATATGAACAAAAGGAGAGGCTCAAGGTAAGTAAACACTATATCATGCCAACAAAGCTCTTACCCAGCGGTCACAATCCTGGGAAAAAGCAAGGCTGAAACATAATGTTGTCCTAATGCAAGTGCATGACATTTTTTTCTGCCAAATTATGTTTCTTCCTATTTCACTGTAATGAATACTTTTGTCTTTCAAAATAAGAAAATGAAACATTCATTGATTTTTTTTTTTCTTGCATTTATAGACAAAAAAATCTGGCAACAACCTGCTTTATGATATCCACTACTGGATTGGTAATGATTCTTCTCAAGATGAGCAGGGGTCAGCAGCCATATACACCATCCAACTGGATGACTATCTGGGAGGAGGCCCAGTGCAGCATAGAGAAGTGCAAGGATATGAATCAGAGTCCTTCAAAGGGTACTTCAAGCAGGGAGTCATGTAAGTACAATCGGCACCAGGGCTTGGTGGAATTAATAAATTATGTTAAGTTCAGTATACAGAATTTAGCACTCTGTACTCAATTTTAACTTTTTTTTTCTACTTCTAGTAAGAAAAGACGTGTTAGGAGGAGTGTGGGGATTTCCCTAGGAAGGTCTCCCAAAATCAGGGATCTTTAGATGTGTATAGTTCCCACTTTTACTTACCTCCTATCACATACTTTGTTAGCTTTTATGTCTACCACCATACACGTATGGCTGATGTAAGCATACATTTTTAGAAGGACAAAATGACACCATACCCATTTTCACTATGAAATTAACTTAAAAACTACCAATAACAGTGACAACTATTGTTTTAGAATGCTGGTATGTGTTACTGCAAAAAAAGCCTGCAAAAATTAAAATATATTTAAAGTCAAATGTAGCACTACCCCTGCAGGGGCTCCTAATTTTACTTGGTCCATCCCCAAATAGTACAGTGGCCATCAGCCACCCAAGCAACAGTTCATTCACTCTGGCTGCTATAAACTGTCTAGTCTTGTCTTTTGTAATTTATTGCTGATAAAGCTTGTAACAGGAGAGGAGTTAGGGGCATGGGATACTCCAATATATTTAGCACATAACAGTTGGAGGACAGTCTTTCCCCTGTGTCTGAACTCTCCACAGTAGACCATGAGGTGGCATTCTGATCAGGCTAAAACCTCACGGCTGGGACTATAAGGCAAGTCTCTTTGATATACAGCATATGAAGACAAGAAACTCGGTTTTGGAGAGGTTCGGTTTGGGGAGGTGGAGCGGCGTCCGGTCTGATGTGTCGCTCAGTGGGTGTGTGGTTCGGGCAGAGACTGAGGGGGTGGGGGGTTGAGAGGGGTTGGGCTCCGTTTCCTCCACCCCCCTCTTCCAACCCCTCCACTGGCTTCTGATTGCGCAACAGATCAAATTCAAAATCCTAACACTGACGTACAAAGCTGTCCACCATACTGCCCCGAACTACATCACTGACCTAATATCCAAGTACCGCCCAGCACGCACACTCCGCTCCTCACAAGACCTCCTTCTCTCTAGTTCCCTGGTCTCCTCCTCCCATGCCCGCCTCCAGGACTTCTCCAGGGTGTCACCCATCCTCTGGAACTCCCTGCCCCAACCCATCAGATTATCACCTACTCTCCTCTCCTTTAGGCGCACCCTGAAAACCCATCTCTTCAGGGAAGCCTACCCCACCCCCTGCTAACTTGCCGACCTCCTCCACTCTTCCTACCACTCCATCCCCCACAGCTATCTCCTCCTGTACCACTATCCCCTCCCTCCTAGATTGTAAGCTCGAAAGAGCAGGGCCCTCAATCCCCTCATGTTTTGCATTGTATTGGTATTGTTCTGTCACATGTTATGTCCCCCTTTGTAATGTACAGCACTGAGTGAACTATTGGCGCTTTATAAATACTGTATAATAATAATCTTCTCCTAAGCACTTGTTGAGAAATTTGACAGTCTAAGGCAGGGGTGTCAAACTGGAGGCCCTCCTGCTGTTGCAAAACTACAAGTCCCATCATGCCTCTGCTCTTGGGAGTCATGCTTGTAACTGTCAATCTTGCAATGCCTCATGGGATTTATAGTTTGGCAACAGCTGGAGGGCCGCCAGTTTGACACCCGTGGTCTAAGGTCTCACAGCTGAAGACTAGAGGCCAGTCTCAATAACAGGCAATCTTCTCTTTAGTAATTGTGGAAACTGAACAGTCTAAGGCCTCACAGCTGAAGACCATGAGGCCATTCCCTTTGACAAGCAATCTTGTTTTGGAGATAGTGATGAGAATTCCAACATTTTACTGTTGTCACCAGAATAGGAGGTGAGGGTAAATCTTCAATGTTGTGTCTTCAAAAAAAAATCTCCCATAACGAGACACAAACAGCAAAAAAAACACTTGTGGTGTTTCATGAAATAAAATCCAGATTTATAAGCAATAAAGTCTTTCGTACAATATAGAAGAGATATAAACCACAGTCATATATAGCGTTTACTCAGCACTCCAAAACTGTAAGCCAGTGTCCATTGTCAACATAGAAATAGATATCCAGGAGAGTGATGATGGGTGTACAGATCCAAGGAACTCCCCCGCAGCTCCTGGAAGGGAACTGGGAAGGATCCACCCATGTGTATATGAAAAAGAACACGAAGGGCGCTGGGGTTAGTACGATCAATGAATCAACACTTTTTTTAAACAAAGCACACTTACAGTTTAAAAGCTAAAATCCAGCTAAATGGCAGCCAGGAGGGTAAAACATTGACATCCTATGCAGGGCTGATCAAACAACAGCACATGGATGCCCCAGAACACCACCAGAAGTGAAAGGACCAAGATGGGTGGGCCTGTTTCAGGGGCACCTTCCCTTTGTCAAGCTTGACATTCCATGGCTCTGCTTGCAGCCACACACGCTGTCCCTCCTTTCTCTTCTGGTGGTCTTTTGGGGCTTCCACATGCTGTTTGCACAGGATGTTGATGTGTTTTCCCCTCCTGGCTGCTGTTAATACTGGATTTTCACTTTTTAAGTGTGCTTTATTAAAGAAAGTGTTGCCTCTTTTATCCTACTAACCCCAGCACAATGTCTTTGTGTTCCTTTTTATAAAGGCTTTCAGAAGAAGACAATTTCATGAAAAAAAAACCCAAAAATGTGCATTTTGCTGTGGTTCTGCCAGATATACCAGCTTGTGTGGAGCCCGAGCTGCTGGTAGATGCTATGGAATATGAAGGCTGCAGTGAACATATGGAGTGGGTCAGATCTCAGCATGTACATGAATACATAGTCTTGTCTTCTTGTGCCTTTTTGTGAGGTTTTACATTCATGCCGTATGTTTTTATGCTTGAGAAAATGCAGATAGCATGTGCTTGTGAGCATATTAACAGCTGTAGCTGTGGCACACCAAAGGCAAATCACAATAAGCCCCGGTTTAGATATATGCAAATTGGATGCATTTTGAACCACATCCAATTCTCATGACATGTGAACCAGTAGCTTTTTCTATTGAGCCAGTTCACATATGTCCGAGCCGGCCAATGTGTGATTTTTCAGTCAGGTTCAGGTGTGATTTCCAATGTCATAAACTTTAACAATTTGCACCTGAATTGCACCTGAACCGCTGACCAAAGTCACACTGACCGAACGGGGCTTGAAATTGAGCTGCAAACCAGCCCTGCACATATGTGAACCCAGGCTGAGTTTGTGGAACACCTCATACTCTCAGCTGTACACAAGACCTCAGCCATAGAGGGGTACATCATTTCATCTGGTGGCTTCCAGTGCCCACAGTAACGATTGGACAATATTACAATTTACACAGTTATGGTTTTCATTGACTTAAAGTGACACTAAACTCTGGTTTACAAAACTTATATTCAAGTAAAACTGTATTGTCACTTGCCCTCAGCCTCTTCCAAATTCCTTTTTTTCTTTTGCTGCTGTGGTCTGACTTACTGTTAGAAGGTGGCTACATTCGTTCTCCTTGGTCACACTATATTAACCTTGCAGAATGAAATGAAAACGAGAAGCGCACCAACCTTGCGCATTACCTCAGTAACCAAAATTTATTAATTGTAAAAAATATACTCACAAACAGCGAATAAAATCAGGCATGTAAGTCCTCACAGGGACTTGAAGATAACATGAGTCCCATCAGGGGAGTGGGTGTTCAGTACAGCTGACGCGTTTCGAAGGGGGTCCCTTCTTCCTCAGAGCTAGCAGAAAAAGCAATATGAAACAATTTCATAAAAAATAGATTACAGAATCATTAAGTAGTAGGTGTGTATGGATTTTTTTGAGAATAATAATATTTTTTAGTGTCCCTTTAAAAAATATTGGATTGTCAAAATAGTGCAGTAAGGTTTTCTAGTTTTCACTGTGCAGACGTTTATTATAAAATGTTCAGTACACTATAATTCTTTGTGATCTGATTATTCATAGTGGATTTCTGGATCTAGAGTTGTTCTTTACTTTTTCAGTTACAAGAAAGGTGGCGTGGCATCTGGTATGAAACATGTGGATACTAACACATATGATGTGAAGAGGCTGCTTCATGTTAAGGGCAAACGGAATGTCACAGCTACCGAGGTAATACTCAGCGCCTACAGATAACTGCGGCAATCCATCAGCTGCTCCTTTTGACTTTGTAACATGAATTTTTTGCACATACACTCACCGAAATTTAATAGGTACACCTTTTCAATTGCTTGGTAACACAAATTGCTAATCAGCCAATCACATAGCAGCATTTAGGCATCTAGACGTGGTGAAGACGACATGTTGAAGTTCAAACTGAGCATCAGAATGGGGAAGAAAGGGGATTTAAGTGACTTCGACCGTGGTGTGGCTTTTGTTGCAAGACGGGCTGGTCTGAGCACTTCAAAAACTGCTGATCTACTGGGATTTTCATACACAACCATCTCTAGATTTTACAGAGAATGGTCAGAAAAAGAGAAAATATCCAATAAGTGGCAGTTTTGTGGATGAAAATGCCTTGTGGATGTCAGAGCTTAGAGGAGAATGGGCAGACTGGTTCAAGATGATAGAAAGGCAACAGTAACTCATGTCAATATGGACCAAAATCTCTGAGAAATGTTTCCAACACCTTGTTGAATCTATGCCACGAAGAATTAAGGCAGTTCTGAAGGCAAAAGTGGGTCCAACCCGGTACTAGTACGGTGTACCTAATAAAGTGGCCGGTGAGTGTATGTGCATTAAAATAGTAGAAACTGGACATAGACCCTGGAATTCATAAAGAGTATCGTGGACATTGTTCTGAAATGTTTCTCGTGCTAGTGCGACAAATGTCAGATTCATGTACAAATGTCAGATTCATGTACAAATGTCAGATTCATGTACATGTACACATTAAGATGTATATGAATCTATCATAGAGCTGATAGAACTGCTGCGAACATCTCACCTGCGAAGTGCCAAAGTTTTACAGACAAACTACTGTACTTAGAACTTAGGAGTGATTTGGGAGAGTAATGGAAATCAAAGGTCAGTTAACTCAAAGTGGACCTTCACTCTAAATTTGGTCTTTTTTTCTCTGCAACCCTTACCACTTCACAGGCTTAAAAAGCTATTTTTTTTCCTTCCCCAGCCCGGCCTTTCACCGCTATCCCCACCTAGGTGATAACGATGTGTCCCTGCTCCCATAGCCTCCTGAAATCTCCCTGTCCTATATCCCAGGAAGATGCAGGAGCAAAGATACAGAACGGCTGTAGGGTGGAGCTGCATCTGGCAATGGGGACCGGCTGTCTGAACCCAGAAAAGACAGTTGGGCTCCCAATGGCAAAATAAGATGGCAGCACAGGATCCAGCATGTGGTAGAGGTACAGTAGATTGCAGCAAGACAATGCTGGATTCACTGGGCAGTGAATCGAAGACAATACTGTGATGTTTTACATATTTGAAATATGACTGCAAGAGCCATCAGTAACCAAAATGTTGCTGTAATAGGCCTTTTCCCCATATAACATGCATAGTATGGTAGTCAATTTTCCATATATCATACATAGTATGCGTGGTCATGACTATATACCATATGTCCAAGGGGACAATTTACATTTTGTAGCGTGTTAATGTCGCTGCGGGTGGTAATCACATACAAGAAATCTTACAGCCTGGTTGCACTGAAGTTGATCCATGGATCAACTTCAGCACAAACATTCTGCCCATAGATGGATCGAATCTCAGACGGTTCCTGCTGAACTGGCCGAGATTTGGTCTATCTATTTAAAAAGGTGCGTATTTTGCTGAAATTTAATGTAGGCAAGACAACTGGCAGCATACACGGAATTAATTTGATAGTGTTTTAGATGGGAATATATAATTTATGTATTCCTCAGGTTTTTTTAACTGTACGAGATTCTATATTATTACAGGTGGAACTGAGCTGGAACAGTTTTAATATTGGGGATGTGTTTTTGCTGGATCTGGGGAGAGTGCTCGTCCAGTGGAATGGACCTGACAGCAATAAGGCAGAGAGAATGAAGGTAACTGCTGCTTCCAGAAGCATTGGGGTTGATTTACTAAAACTAGAGAATGCAAAATCTGGTGCAGCTGTGCATGGTAACCAATCATCTTCTAGGTTTTTCTTTGTCAACGCTTAATTGGTTAAGCAGAAGTTAGAAGCTGATTGGTTACCATGCTCAGTGGCACCAGATTTTTCACTCTCCAGGTTTGGTAAATCAACCCAATTGTCTTTTACAACCCATTTTTAAACAAAAGTTCAGTAGGTCAGCATGGTCAGTCTTGTTTTTTTTTTTTTTTTCTTACTAGGGTATGCTGTTGGCTAAAGACATACGTGATCGAGAAAGAGGAGGCCGAATGGAGATCGGGGTGATTGAAGGAGATAATGAGCAAACATCATCTGAGTTACTGAAACTTCTATACAACACACTTGGAGAGAGGACCCAGACTATTGGACCAGGGACTGCTGATGAAATTGCAGATCAGACACAGAAAGCTAACATCATGCTATACCAGTATGTAGTGAGAATGTGCGTCTGATCTATAGTGTTAGTGTAGTGTTAGGCTACTTTCACACTGATCCACCACAAAAACACAGCAAAAACGCATAGGCATTTTTACAGCGTTTTTAATGCGTTTTTGCCATGCTTTCTGGGCGTTTTTTAACCACTTCCCATCCGGCTGTTGTATGTAAATGGCGACCGTGGCAGTGCAGGGTCGGGTGGCTATTTATAAATGGCCTTCCCGACCCCTGCTAGTGCGCGTTCCCTGGGAGCGTGCAGCACTGCGATCCGGTGCCCGCTGTGTCCTCTGGACACAGTGGAACACCGATCGCCGGACGGGACCTTTGTGCGAGTATCACCAAAATAAAGCTTTATCTGTCTCCAAAAAAATTCATATGGCTACAGTGTTGCATGACCGCGCAATTGTCATTCAAAGTGTGATAGCACTGAAAGCTGAAAATTGACCTGGACAGGAAGGGGGTAAAAGTGTCTGGACTGGAAGGACACGTGACTTAAAAACTGCTCCAAAAACACTTCTCAGGGGAATTTTTTTTAACTCCCCAAACATGCCCCAAAGATGCTGCAAGCAGGAGTTTTCACACAGCACCACAAGCGCAACGTCTCAGTGTGAAAATATACATAGATATACATTCACATACATAAGGAAGCAGTTTTCTTGAGCTTTTCAAGTGCTTTTTTTAATGCAAACACGCTTGAAAAACTCCTCAGTGTGAAAGTAGCCTAATGTGTTCCTAGTTAAATGCTAGCAAAGTATATAGCTGTATTTTAGTGCAACAATTATATATACCACAAACAAACAAAAGTTTTCCCAGCACATTTACCAGCTAGCGTGCAAAAAACAAAAACCAAAAACCCAAAATGGCACTGTCTAACTATTTACTTTAAAAACTTTAAAAACAGAGGTTTTATTTGCACACATTTGCTAATATATGTGGAAGCCACACTACCTTGTCAAGGCCTCTCTATAAAGTGCGGTCCTAATTCATATATGAGAGTCTCCATATTGCAGTATACAGCATATAACAATACATTAAAGGCAGGTGTGCCCAGAGGCGAGTTCACACTACATGCATTTCAGTTGCTTTTTTTCTGCATCTAAAATGCACAGAAAGTAGGTTATATGGTTGTCAATGTCATAGTTCACATCAGTGCTTGCAGTTCCAGTGCGTTCCGGATGCAGAAAAAAAGTAGAACAGGCTGCATTATTCCTGCACAAAACTGTACTGGACCAAAAATGCACCAGAACGCACTGGAACGCACCAAAAACGCACTGGAGTGCACATGTCCCTTTTTAAATTGAAGAAAAATAGAGGGGAAAAAAATGAACTGGAACGCATCAAAAACACATTGGGGTTTATTTACTAAAGCTGGAGAGTCCAAAATCAGACTCCCTTCTGCACAGAAACCAATCAGCTTCCAGGTTTCATTGCCAAAGCTTCATTGAACAAGCTGAGGTTAGAAGCTGATTGGTTTCTATGCAGAAGGGAGTCTGATTTTGGACTCTCCAGCTTTAGTAAATAAACCCCATTGTGTCAAAACACATTAAAAACCACACTGGAATGCGCCAAAAATGTGCATGCAGAAACACAGCCAGAATGCATCCAGACTGCATTTCTATAGTGTGAACCGGCCCTAAAAGTACGGGGGCACATTAAAAGTCCAGCAAGAGCACAATGACAGCTAATAATTGTATATCATTTGCATATTATGGAAATGGTGTACTTTGAAGCCCTGTGAACAAATGGGCAGTACAGCATATAATGTTAGTAGCACTGAACATGTCAAATGATATCATGTTGTTAAAAAAAACAATACCAAAGAGCCATTTATCATGATACTGCCAGCCAGCCGATCTGGGCTCATGCGGAGTCCAGTGTGAAGGTCTTGGCAAGGACAGTATGCCTATAGGCCTTTAGGTCAGCTTCTGTATCTGTAATATACTATCCCAACCAACAGACATCAAGAACTATCCAAATACTTCACGGTTTTGCACAGAAAAGATTGTTCTATACATATGCATGTTTTTACAGTACATATTGAACATATACAGTATATTTTTCTTAGGAGGGAGAACTTAGAGTCCATCTTAATCTTGGAGGAAAAACAATTAAAATCAGCTAGAAAAAAATTTAGCTTTGCTGATACCCTAAGAGTGCTTGAGAAATTAAAGGATAAGTTCAGTTTAAAAAAAAAAAAATAATAAATGCCCATTTTAATTATTTTTTTTTGGATCCTGGAAAGCATTGCACCAGCAATCAGCAGATCGCTGGTGCCATGCACGACTTCTGCAAACTGTCAGTGTATTTGCCTGTACACCCCGTCTGAGAGGAAGACTCAATAAACTACCACAGCGCTCAACAGCACCATGGTAGTTCACTGAGAGCTATAAGCTGACAGCCGCTAAAGCTGCCGGGACTTGTAGTTCATTTATTCCCAGAATAAATGACGCAGCAGTATGGGCGAAGCGCTGCAATGGCCATGCTGTTTTCAAAAACTGACAGCTAGAACTTCTCCACGTGCTGCTGTCACAGGGAGGGGATTGGGCAGCTGCTGCAGCACACTGGGCAACATGTTACATGTTCCACCACAAAAATGGTTGGAACCTGTAATGTGTTCCCAAAGATGAACTTATCCTTTATTACCTACATAAAGATATAAGGTCATTGCCCAAGCCAGCCTAAATCAGCCAACACACAGGTAAGCATTCACTTACATTTTACAGACCTGTAGTCTGTCCTGCACAAGTCTCTGGGAAATCTGTAGTACAAGGAAATACATGGAAATAGCTGGCACCCAGCCTTGTTGAGGGTAGGATGGAGGATCAGTAAATGCTGTGGAGTACACTTTACATGTCACTCTCCTGTTTTCGATCTTTAAAGGATAAGTTCACCTTTAGGAACATGTTCCACTCGTATTTAGGGTGTAACTGGTAACATGTTCCTAAGCGCTCGCTTCCCATCACCTGAGTCCCCTCTCTATGACACTGTGCAGGGTGGGCCCCAAGTCCCCACAGCCACTGTCACATTTAAAATCTGCGTAGCTCCACACAAGGTCACCAATTTTAAATGTGATATCGGTTACAGGGAAGAGATCTCTGAATGAATAAACTACAAGTCCGTCTGCCACCATGGCAGACAGACTTGTAGTTCAGAATGGTCCACAAGAGCGGTAATCGGCGCACTTCTAGTCCATTGACACTTCCTCTAGCTCAGTAACAGAAAACATACATAGAGGTATGGGTAGACCTGTAGCAATCTACTGATCGTGCATGCAATGCTTTGCAGGCTCCTGTGGAAGAAAAATAATAAATGTACATTTTGTTTCCTGCACAAATATGTGCATTTATTATTTTTTTCTTAAAGGCAAAGTTAGCTTTTAGGTCCTCTATTCAGGACTGAATGGGGGGTAACTCTAATCAGCACACCGGAACTGATAATTAAGGATTCCTGTAGATTTGTCATTTTCTTTAAAGTGGTTGTAAACCCTTACATATACCCAGTGAAGTGACTGACCTCAGGTGATACACAGAGATGAAACAAATCCTCCTACAAAAGTTGTACCTGTCTGTCTGCAGTCTTCTTTTCTCTACAGCCATTCAAAGTGCTGAATTTATAAAGCTTGTCTGAGAGTTCAGAAAAAAAAGGGGGAGAGAGCTGAAATTACACTCCACAGAGCTCAGTGAGGAGAACTTGGAGAGTTGATTGGAGGGATGGGACACACCCCCTCCCCCTCCACACAGCTCACAGGAACAGAGCCGAGGCAGTCAATCTGCTGGAGTTCCCTTCTCTGTCACCATTTTTTCTCTTGTTGTCAGGAAAACTTGTCAGCATTGATTCATGCAGAGAGCTAAGGAACAAAACAACAGGCAGAGATTACACTTAGTGCTGTTAATTGAGACAAGTACACACTATAGAGCAGTGGTCTCCAAACTTTGGCCCAGGGGATGTGGCCCTTTTGCTTATTTTATTCAGCTCTTGAGGCACTATTTCATCCACTGACACCAACAAAGAGGCACAATTCCTCCCAATGACACTAACAATGGGGCACAGTTCCTCCCAATGGCACCAACGACACCAATGATGGGGCACAATTCCTCCAAATGGCACCATCGATGGGAAACAATTTCTCTCGCTGATACTTAAGATGGGGCATTGTTTACTCCCACTGATGCCGGGACAGTCTCTATTCTTGATTGCCATGTCCAGCCCCCCTAAAGTCTGAAGGACAGCAAATTGGCCCTTTATTTATAAAGTTTGGAGACCCCTGCTATAAAGGGATATGCTTTGTTTATATTTCATGTCTGAGGTTTAGAACCACTTTAACTGCCATGTTATGATATTCGTAAATTCTCTACAGAGTTGTTTTTTTTTTATACCAAACTATTTTTTCCACAGGATAAAAGCTTTGCCTCTTGAAAATAGCCATATAATTTTCTGGAAGTCTATAATTAAATTGCACTTTTGTATCAGTGTTTCAGATGCTAGTGGGCAGATGGAGGTGACAGATGTAGCAACACGACCATTAGTTCAAGACATGTTAAATCACCAGGTGAGTGCGAACCTTGAGAAGACCTACAGTATCAATTAGAATGAGTACATTAACAATAGTTGTGTGATAAACTGGAGTCGTATCTGTTACTTCTCCATACTGAAATCTCATTTCTCCCTCTAGGACTGTTACATCTTAGATCAAGGAGGAATCAAAATATATGTTTGGAAGGGGAAAGGAGCGACAAAGGCTGAGAAACAGACTGCAATGTCCAAAGCTTTGGTAACTATATAAAATATATCCATATTCAGTATTATACTACAAAACACTGGAATTTTTATTTAGGGGGGGTCATATATAGTAATTATTCACCATAAATTGTATGCAAGTCCTCCTAGAGAGTCCATGACATAAAATACATAAAGATGAGGAGCTTGTTTTAACTTCCTAAATATCCACTTATTTTAATGTAATTTAAGTTCCTCAAAACCTGGCAAGACATACCGTTTATGTCCATTTATAGGCATACTGTAATATTTGGTGTGGGTGATGTGTTATTGCTAATCCATTTAACTGTTACTGATTACTTGTAATCACACCTTGATCAAGGTAATGAACTGCTGAAATGGTAGGTCAAAAAGCTCAACAGGTCTAGTGACCCCGTTGAGGTCAGTTCATGCTTATTTGGATGGCCCGTTTTGTTTTTTTTTTTATGCTCTCACCTGAAACAGACACCATTTAAGTGTAATTTTGGTGGGATGTTGCTGCTAGCCATTACAGGGAAGGTATTGGAGAAGAAAACTACTCTTCTTTGTGGTCGTATTTTCGTATGAGCCCTCAAGAGACTGTACACAATATGCAGCCCTTCCTTCCCTCTCTACATTCTGCCTATCCTAATTCCAAAATATAAGTAATGAATCTGGTGCATCTTAATCATCTAGTAACATTTCTTCTGAAATATAACATGCTTCTAAATGCTTCCCATGGACACTTACGCTGGGCCATGCATTACTGGAAATAGAGCATTAGTAATTGCACATCTGGGATGACCACAGTGATAATTTGTCCTTTATTGATCTGAACAGGAATTCATTAAAATGAAGTCATATCCGCACAGCACCAACGTGGAGATGGTTAATGATGGAGCTGAATCTGCCATGTTTAAACAGCTTTTCCAGAAGTGGACAGTGAAAGACCAATCGGTGGGTTTGGGGAAGGCTTTCAGTGCCAGTAAGATTGGTGAGTATTATTATTATTATACAGTATTTATATAGCGCCAAAGGGTATGCTCAGCGCTGTACAGTAGCAAGGGGGACAGAACATGAGACAAGACAGTAACAATACAATACACGAGGGGTTCGAGGGCCCTGCTCTTTCAATCTAGGAGTAGAGCACACAGCAAATTTACCATCATAAAAACATGAACAAAGGGAAAAATGTATTGTTGCCTATAGCAAACAGGCAGCTGTCATTTTAATGCTAAAGGCTTAGTTCACCTTTCATAACATGTTACACGTTATACCCGTATCCAGGGTGTAACATGTAAAATATTACTAAATAAGCAGCCTCCTTTCCCCCGAGCCCCTGTTGTGACACTGGCTCAGGGATCCTCTCCCCACACCTGCTGTCACAGTTTAAAAAAAGCTTGGGGTCTACCCACCCACCGCATCATTCATCCACAGAATGGATGGGAGAACTACAAATACCGTCAACCATTGCGGCTGATGAGTTAATTGATCTGTCCTGTCATTCAGTAACTAACTGTCCATATGAGGTACAGGAAGACAGCTACACTGACAGTCTGCAGGAGACTGAGAGTGCAATGCTTTACAGGTTCCTAATATAAAAAAAAAATAATTAATTTTTTTAAAGGTGAACTTGGGCTTTAATAATTCACCATCATAGTTAGACATGAAGCTGAAGAAATTGGAATATTTAGTATACAGTAACATTTTTAGTGGTAAACATCTATATCTTGGAGCACTAATTATATTGTTTCATTTCTTTCAGAGACTTCAGTTATTAATTTACTATAAAGCTGAAAATACAGTACAAACACATAGTTTCCAGTGGAATACATTTCATATTTCATTTCCAAGCCAACAACTAGCATCTCTGTAGTAAGACATCAGTTTTCAGCTCCCATGTTATCTTTTCAGAAAGGATTACTTTTTGAATATGGATATCTGTCCCTCTTAAACCTGTCAAAAGACTCAGAACCTATAATACTGTACCATATACAGTACATCACAGATTCAAAAGTGCTGCTTCTCAGAATGCCACTATTGTAGTAATAATTACATTTTAGTGTGTTAATTCCATTTTGCTCCAGAATGTTAATACAATAGAAATAGGTATGTATATGAGTTAGATTCCTAGATATAATATTGACTCATAAGTAACTCCTGGATGTGATACTGTTGCTTGATTCCCCAAGATTAAAAAAGTCAAGATAAGATTTGGCTTATAATTCTCTATTAAAACACTAACATAGCATTTTTATGTAAACGTAGCCAATGTCAGCCAAGAGAAATTTGATGCTTCCCTACTTCATGCAAAGCCAGCAATGGCCGCTCAGGAACGTATGGTAGATGATGGAAGTGGAAGTGTTGAGGTAAGAGGGTTGATTTTATCACCATATAATTAGTATTTACTTTCCGTATCTAGATTCCAAAATGTGTCTACTATAACTATTAGAATATTTCTGCAATAAGTAAGTAGCTACAGGAAAGTGACAGGTTTGGTTTTGTGGAAGGAACAACTGGTGACAGTCTGCAGCAGAAGGCTGTTCTATGTGCAGATTACTATTCTGTTGTTCTTAAGCCTTGTACATGCGATGAGAATATCGGACAAATGATCATTCTTTTTTTGCATGCTAGTCTCGTATCGAAAATGAAGAGTTTACTAAAGTTACGAAAATTCTCGTTCAACAGAATACAAGTAGTAGACAGAAATGATGTAATGCTTTTGTATTTGTATCGTAGTGTATTCTTTTGTTTCTGAGCATGCGTGGTCTTTTTTCAGACAAATACTGTACTGATTAAACAAAAATTGTACATTCCGGTATTGTACGAGAAAAATTTTCATGCTTGTCCTTTTGGATAATTTTGCATAAAAGCTGAGTACTAACGATCAGATTATCGTACCATCAATTTGAAAACTGTATTTTTCATCCGTTTTTCTGATCATGTGCACTAGGCATTACTAGCTCACAGTAGAGAGAATAATCTGCACACCTGAGCTCAATATGTTGTAAGACTTTGCTTGAAACAAGGTGATCAATACTTCCTACATTCAACAGTTCTCAGCAACAAATAACATTGCAATGTAGAAAGATTGCTTCACCCACATCATCCATAAGGCAATCAATTACATTAGCAGGTTTACAATAAAAGTCTTAGGTCATAGAGATAGTACATTTAATATGGAAGGTGATCACTATTGTGACATGGAGTTTCCACTATCTTACTAACAAAGATGTTTTCCTAGGTGTGGAGAATAGAGAACTTGGAGATGGTTCCAGTGGACCCTCAATGGTATGGCTTTTTCTTTGGAGGTGACTGTTACCTGGTACTCTACACATACCAGGTCAACAAGAAAGCACACTACATTCTCTACATATGGCAGGTAAGCCGAAGCTGAAATCAGCTACAGTGAGTGTGATCTGATCTGTGAGTGTGATCTGTGAGTCAGTCAGCAAACCTTTTCCCACAAGTATGTGTATTTTAAAATGGGTTTTATCCTGCAACAGAAATCACAAGAAGAGGAATATGATATAGTATGTCAGTGGTAGAATGTCAGTAGTTACACTACTGTTGGTAAAATGAGATTGAACCACAGAATTACTGTAGTTGAAACCTCTTGGCCCTATATGGACTTCTATCTCCTGTTTGTGATCCAAGACACATAGACAGTTGTGCCAACCTCAGATGGTTTGCATGGTATGAGACCTGAAACAATCTTCACCCAATGATAATAGCCATACCTGTGAGGTCTTTGTCTTTGAGCCACTTTATTGTGTTTATTCAGAGAATTATTCCAAGCCCCGCTCTCAGCGTTCACCACGGTATTATCTATCATCGCGAACTGCTCCGCTCTCTCTGTGATTAGAGGCTGAACTGAGCTCTTTTCCATGCTCTGACTGGGAGAAGCAGGCAAAATCCCCAGTCTCCTCCATGGGCCATAATCAGTGGGTAGAAAGCTAGCCTACAGTGTCCTCCAAAAGCCCCTGTCCATGTTGGGTCTGTCACAGGAAGGCTCAGAAAGTGTTTCTCTTTTATTTCTTATGCTGCCCTCTTAATGGCAGGGTCGCCATGCATCACAAGATGAACTAGCGGCTTCTGCCTTCTTGGCTGTTCAACTCGATCAAGATTTTAATGGAGAGCCAGTACAGGTGCGATTGTGCATGGGAAAGGAGCCTCGACACTTTATGGCCATCTTTAAAGGAAAGATGGTTATATTTGAGGTAAGATATATACTAAGATGAGTGTATTTTTAAGTTTTACAGTGCACTGTTTATTAATACAGAGTAAAATCAGCCGTTTTCCAGAAAAGAAAATGTTTCCTATTCTTTTTCTTTGAACCAGTGATTATAGTATATTATAGTAGATCTAAACCCAAACTGGATGACATTTAGTGGTTGATTTACTAAAGCTGGTGCACTCAGAATCTGATACAGCTGCATACGGTAGCCAATCAGCTTCTAACTTCAGCATATTCAATTAAGCTTTGACAATAAAACCTGGAAGCTGGTTGGTTTCTATGAAGAACTGCACCAAATTTTGCTCTCTCCAGTTTTAGCAAATCAACCCCCTGCGAGGAGCATTTATTAAGCAAATTAGAAACAATTTAGACACAAGTCAGGCTCCCTGTCAATTAGTAAAGTGCATGCGAAAGTTTGTGTATTTGCAAGCCTTACACTTGCAATTATGGGCAGTCAGCTGTGAAAATATTGCATTGGAGAAGAAACAGATTTTCACTGAATACAGATGGACAATTGAGAAGATATCAGGGTTTTTTTTTTCAGTTACAGTCCTTTACAGCAGCTGAGGGAGAAATATATGATTGAAGCTGTCTAAAAGTTTTTTATAAAGTGCTGTGAATTTACACAGTGCTTTACATACTGTACATTCACTATCTAGGGCCAATTTTGGACAAAGGCCAAGTAACCTTTTAGCTTTTCTTTGGAGTGTGGAAGGAAACCAGAGTGTCTGAAGGAGTCCCACAAAAGCACTGAGAGAGCATGGGACCCCAATACTGCAACACACAAGCATTAGCCACCAGGGGCGGACTGACAACTCATGGGGCCCCCGGGCAATAGGGGATCATGGGGCCCCTGTGTCCTTGCCCAAACTCAAAAAACCCTATAAAAAAGGTACCAGGGTCTCTCATGGGGCCCCTACTGACCCCCGGCCCTCGGGCAGTGCCCGAGTTTCCAAATGGTCAGTCCGCCCCTGTTAGCCACTATGTCACTGTTCTGCGCATACATCTGTCTCATATGTACATCCCTGTAGCACCGACTTGCTGTGTGATAAAATTGATATGTGTCCCTTGTGTATTTTAATAATTGCCAAATGAAAAGTTCATGTTTAAAAAAACTTCCAGGCCCCTCCCTAGCCCCTTATACACAATCACAGCCTAACCATTAACAAACTCCCCTTTCCCCACAATTTCTTACTTACCCCTTCAAACAACAGCTTTCCAAGTTTTGTGCAGCCTGATGGACAATCTAGTACCAGTCTCCCTGTCATACCATATACTTGGATGGCACATACTCCTGCAGTATGGGTATGTCCCATTCAAGTTTAAGGGATGTTAGTGCATAGGTGTGGGCAGTATGGCACCAAATTCTTACTGGCTGGGTGGCAGACACCACAGAAGGCTTCCAGTGCTGGTGGAGGTAATTAAAGAGGAATCACCTTCCCCCTAACATTTTTGTTCTTCCTTCCAATTACATGATGCTGAACATCTCATATACTCACCCAAACAGGAGATCCAGCATTGTCCTGCTGAGATCCTCTTCTCAACAGCCACCGCTGGGTCCCTAGCCACCATGTTTCTCTGTGAAGTCATCAGAAAGCTGCGCCAGTGCTTCAGGGTTTTGGTGCAGTCTTCAGATGATGTGCTGCTAGCCCCACAGATATGGAAGAAACATATATTTGAAATATATGCTCACCAAATATATTGACATATATTTGAAATGCTACAATTTTGGCCATATTCAATATATTTCAAAATATATTTTCAATAAATATATATATATATATATATATATATATATATATATATATATATATACTGCATTTCAACATGCATTTTTATTACAAATTATATGAAAAATATTTTTAAAAATAAATTTCAAATATACTGTATGTCTTTAAAAATACAGTACATTTTTGGAATGCATTTACAAATATATGTAAAAATATATGTTAAAATAACGTTAAAAAAATCTGAAAATTTAAAAAAAATAGATTTTTAAAAATATATATTTAATATATATACAGTGGGGCAAAAAAGTATTTAGTCAGCCACCAATTGTGCAAGTTCTCCCACTTAAAAAGATGAGAGAGGCCTGTAACTGGCATCATAGGTAGACCTCAACTATGAGAGACAAAATGAGAAAAAAAAATCCAGACAATCACATTGGCTGATTTGGAAAGAATTTATTTGCAAATTATGGTGGAAAATAAGTATTTGGTCACCTACAAACAAGCAAGATTTCTGGCTCTCACAGACCTGTACCTTCTTCTTTAAGAGGTTCCTCTGTCCTGCACACATTACCTGTATCAATGGCACCTGTTTGAACTTGTTATCAGTATAAAAGACACCTGTCCACAACCTCAGACACTCACACTCCAAACTCCACTATGGTGAAGACCAAAGAGCTGTCGAAGGACACCAGAAACAAAATTGTAGACCTGCACCAGGCTGGGAAGACTGAATCTGCAATAGGCAAGCAGCTTGGTGTGAACAAATCAACTGTGGGAGCAATAATTAGAAAATGGAAGACATACAAGAACACTGATAATCTCCCTCGATCTGGGGCTCCACGCAAGATCTCACCCCGTGGGGTCAAAATGATCACAAGAACGGTGAGCAAAAATCCCAGGACCACACGGGGGGGACCTAGTGAATGACCTGCAGAGAGCTGGGACCAACGTAACAAAGGCTACCATCAGTAACACACTACACTGCCAGGGACTCAGATCCTGCAGTGCGAGACGTGTCCCCCTGCTTAAGCCAGTACATGTCCAGGCCCGTCTGAAGTTTGCTAGAGAGCATTTGGATGATCCAGAAGAGGATTGGGAGAATGTCATATGGTCAGATGAAACCAAAATACAACTGTTTGGTAGAAACACAACTCTTCGTGTTTGGAGGAGAGAGAATGCTGAGTTGCATCCAAAGAACACCATACCTACATGGTATGGTATAAGCATGGGGGTGGCAACATCATGCTTTGGGGCTGTTTCTCCGCAAAGGGACCAGGACGACTGATCCATGTACATGACAGAATGAATGGGGCCATGTATCGTGAGATTTTGAGTGCAAACCTCCTTCCATCAGCAAGAGCATTGAAGATGAAATGTGGCTGGGTCTTCCAACATGACAATGATCCCAAACATACTTCGGGCAACGAAGGAGTGGCTTCGTAAGAAGCATTTCAAGGTCCTGGAGTGGCCTAGCTAGTCTCCAGATCTCAACCCCATAGAAAACCTTTGGAGGGAGTTGAAAGTCCGTGTTGCCCAGCACCAGCCCCAAAACATCACTGCTCTAGAGGAGATCTGCATGGAGGAATGGGCCAACATACCAGCAACAGTGTGTGCCAACCTTGTGAAGACTTACAGGAAACGTCTGACCTCTGTCATTGCCAACAAAGGATATATAACAAAGTATTGAGATGAACTTTTCATATTGACCAAATACTTATTTTCCACCATAATTTGCAAATAAATTCTTTCCAAATCGGCCAATGTGATTGTCTGAATTTGTTTTCTCATTTTGTCTCTCATAGTTGAGGTCTACCTATAATGCCAATTACAGGCCTCTCTCATCTTTTTAAGTGGGAGAACTTGCACAATTGGTGGCTGACTAAATACTTTTTTGCCCCACTGTAATAAATTCTTCTAATATATTTATTAAATTCTTCATTTTTTTTTGCAGTGCTTTTCACAGTTCATTTTGCATTTTTCTATGTGCATTTTTATTGCGTTTTTACCGTGTTTTGTTCAGCTTTTTTTTATTTGTTAAAGTGGAATTTTTTTTTCTTTTGCTGGGCAGAATAAAAATGCAAAACACGGAAAAAATGCACTACCATGCATTTCAGCAGCTTCTTTATTGAACTCTATTGTAGCAAAAATGCTGCTTTTTGCTTTTAAAAAAGTCCGTGACCGTTTCCAAAAACTCAGCAAATGACTCAGAAAAGTATAGATGTGAATGTGTCCCATAGGAAGTCATGTTAAATGGACTTTAGTGCATTTCTGCAAAAAGCACTAAAATACACATTGGTGTGAACGAAGCCTAAAGGCTGCAGGAACCAGATAAAAGACAAAATAATTGGTTCCGGTCTAAATTGGCCCTAGTATGTGTATGTATGAATGTAAGTTAGAGACCTTAGATTGTACCCCCCTTGAGGGTTAGGGACTGATATGAATGTACAATAAATATGTAAAGCATTGCATAAATGGACGGCACTATATAAGTACCTGAAATAAATAAATAAAAAGACATACTCTAGAGAGGCTTACACTTTAATAAATTAATTTGTACGATGGCCAACTGAAACACAGATCTTTGATGTATTACTTTTCTTAAGCCTCGTTTTATCCTTTGCTGTGCAGGGGGGCACATCCCGCAAGGGAAACGAAGATCCCGAGCCACCTGTCAGACTGTTTCAGATTCACGGCACAGAACCTTCCAATACCAAAGCTATAGAAGTTCCTGCATATGCATCTTCACTTAACTCCAATGATGTTTTCCTGCTGAAAACCCAGGCTGAACACTACCTGTGGTATGGAAAGGTGAGCTTGATGAGATAAAGAACAACTCCACTCCACTAACACTATTTACAAAGCTTTTTTTAGAATGTATGGCTCAATTTGTATTTATTAAAATAATAAGAGATAACAAAAAATTACAAACACAATAGAAAAACAGTCTGTTTTTGCAGTCAGACTAATGAAAAAAAAAAAGTATACAAAGTAATCAGGAATATAGCTCATGAATAAACCTGAGCATAAAAATGGCATCATATTAGTCAATAATCTGCTAACAATCAGAGTCCGACAGAAGTAAATATAGGCCCAAAATTTGGGTTTAAACTAGATAAACAATAATAGCTTGTTTAGGCAGCAGCAGGAATATTTCTAGAAAATGGCAGCTAAATGTGGAGCTCCGCAATGCACTATAGCAATGATCTGGAAACCCCCAGTTAGATAATGGTCATATATTACAATAGGGATGTGTAAGCCAAAAATTCCACATTGAGTGAAATTTAGGCAGGGAGAGGTTCTTTATCGCAAATATTTTCTCACAAGCACAGTACTGATTGAGGTCATGAATAATCTCTGTAACAACAGCAGCAGTTCACCCCTCTGTTCACACTCTTCTTTCCTCCTGTCAGCATGATCCTTGCCAGTGCGTTTGTAGACCGCATATACACAGCTCAAAAAATTAAAGGAACACTTTGAAAACACCTCAGATCTAAATGGGGAAAATATGATGCTGGATATCTATACTGATATGGACTGGGTAATGAACAAAAGGATGCCCCATCGTTTGATGGAAATTAAAATTATTATCAACCTACAGAGGACTGAATTCAAAGACACCCTGAAAATCAAAGTGAAAAAATGATGCGGCAATTTCATTGCAGCAACTCAAAATGGTACTCAGTAGTTTGTATGGCCGCCACGTGCTTGTATGCATGCCTGACAATGTCGGGGAATGCTCCTAATGCGATGAGCGATGGTGTTCTGGGGTATTTCCTCCCAGATCTTGACCAGGGCATTATCAAGCTCCTGGACAGTCTGAGGTGCAACCTGGCGGCGTCAGATGGACTGAAACATGATATCCTAGAGGTGTTGGATTTAGGTCAGGTGAGCATGGGGGCTATTCAGTGATATAAATTCCTTCATCCTCCAGGAACTGCCTGCATACTCTCGCCACATGAGGCCTGGCAATATCGTGCACCAGGAGAAACCCAGGACCCACTGCACCAGTGTAGTGTCTGATAATCGGTCCAAGGATTTTTTCCCGATACCTAATGGCAGTCAGGGTGCCCTTGTCTAGCCTGTAAAGGTCTGTGCATCCCTCCATGGATATGCCTCCCCAGACCATCACTGACCCACCACCAAAATGGTCATGCTGAACGATGTTACAGGCAGCACAACTTTCTCCACAGCTTCTCCAGACGCTTTCACGTCTGTCACATGTGCTCAGGGTGAACCTGCTCTCATCTGTGAAAAGCACAGGGTGCCAGTGGCGGACCTGTCAATTCTGGTGTTCAGTGGCAAATACCAATCACATTCTATGGTGCCGGGATATGAGCACAGGGGCACTAAAGGACATCGGGCCCTCAGGCCACATTCATGAAGTCTGTTTCTGATTGTTTGGTCACAGACATTCACACTAGTGGCCTGCTGAAAGTCATTTTGTAGGGCTCTGGCAGTGCTCATTCTGTTCCGCTTTTCACATAGGAGCAGATACCAGCCATGCTGATGGGTTAAGGACTTTCTACGGCCTGTCTCCTGGGAGCTCCTCCATGCTCTTGAGACTGTGCTGGGAGACACAGCAAACCTTCTGGCAATGGCACGTATTGATGTGCCATCCTGGAGGAGTTGGACTGCCTGTGCAACCTCTGTAAGGTCCAGGTATCGCTTCATGCTACCAGTAGTGACGCTGACCCTAGCCAAATGCAAAACTAGTGAAAAACAGTCAGAAAAGATGAGTAAGGAAAACAATGTCAGTGGCCTCCACCTGTAAAACCATTCCTGTTTTGAGGGTTGTCTCATTGTTGTCCATCTAGTGCACCTGTTGTTAATTTCATTAACACCAAAGCAGCCGAAACGGATTAACAACCCCCTTTGCTACTTAACTGACCAGATCAACATCCCAGGAGTTTCATGAACTTGATGTTATATTCTGATTAAAAAGTGTTCCTTTAATTTTTTTGAGCAGTGTATGATTGGCCAATAGAGCTGCTATAGAAGGTAACACAGAGGCCTAATATCAAGTCAAACGTAGGTACATTTCATTATGCTTAAATTACTATACAATTGCATTAAAATATGTTTTTACGGTATATCTGCCTGGAGTTGTGTTTTAAGACTACTCCAAAATATTTAGGACCATTACAAATAAACATGTTGCCTATGTCCCAGTGTTGTGTTATTGGCAAACTTATAAAAAGTTGTTTTTACGTACCTATATTGTTAATGACATATCCGTGCATTTTAAATTCTTTCACAGGGGTCAAGTGGAGATGAAAGAGAAATGGCCAAGCAACTGGCAGTCATTTTATCTGATGGCTCTGAGGAGGCTCTGGCAGAGGGACAAGAAACTTTACAGTTTTGGGAAGTTCTGGGTGGCAAAGCCCCATATGCCAATGACAAAAGGTATACTTTCTTGTTCCGGGTTGCTCACTTTTAATAGTTAAAAAAAACACAGATTTCTGCCCTCAGTCTTACAGCCACAGTCCTCACAGTTTTGCCTAAGCCCAAAAGGTTTGTGGAAACACATATTAGGAGAATGGGCCGGTGTGCTTTGGTCATGATTCTAGTGCTTGTAATGTGGAACACAGTGTTTTCCTGGAACAAGAGTAAATGAAGATGATGAATCTCAGTGAGAGCAAGAAAATTTAGAGAATGGCTTCATTCCATAGGCATACCGATCCATACACCTGTGCAAAGATCTATCTTCATCCATGCAGGATGCACAGGTGAAGATGTACATTACTGTCAGTGCGGGGCTGATGCACAGATCAAAATGCAGACAGATTGTGTTCTGATCATTGCATCAGCCCTGCACAAGAAGTACAGTACTTTTTTTTTTACATGGAAAATTTACTGACGGAGCACCTTTTTTACTGACATCCTGACATATGACAGAAACTCCTATTATAAACGAAGACGATCACTATTTAAGCAGTATAAACAATACGTAAACATTAACAGTACTCAGAACAAGTAATTTGCCTGACTTTACAATGACAAGGGACAAAATGTGAGCATGAATAGGATTATGAAAGGCATGGGGAACCCTGGGATTAAACAAAAAATAAAGTTCTGTGGTGATCCGTATGCATCGTGAGATTTTGGCTAACAGTGGGAGAGGCTTAAAGGGGGATCATTAAACAGAATCTGTGCCTAGTCGCTATATACACTGCACACATATAACAGTCCTTGTACCCACAAAATATTCCTTATTACTGTACTATAACTGACAGCCTCACAGACACAAATAAACCTCAGGACAAAGGATCATTTTTTCCATTGCATAGGTTTTCATGCACACAAAAAAGATATTTTGTCTGACTGAGCCTACCTTCATTAAAACCAGCAACTGTTGGGACAATGAGCACATTTGTTAAGATTATGTCATCTACAGGGGCAGACTGACCATTTGGAAACTCAGGCACTGCCCGAGGGCCCGGAGTCAGTAGAGGGCCCGGAGTCAGTAGAGGGCCCTATGAGATGCCCGTGGTACCTTTTTCATAGGCTTTTTTGAGTTTGGGCAAGGACACAGGGGCCCCATGATCCCCTATTGCCCGGGGGCCCCATGAGTTGTCAGTGCGGCCCTGGTATGTATAACAAAATGTACAGAGTGCAGGGGTCAGGAGTAAGTAACATACAGAACAGCATATAGGTGTTAATTTACTAAAACCGGAGAGTGTAAAATCCAGTGCAGCTTTGCATTGAAACCAATCGGCTTACATTTTTTTTTGTCAAAGCTTAACCGAGCAAGCTGAAGTTAGAAGCTGATCAGTTACTATGGAGAGCTACACCAGATTTTGCACTCTCCCGTTTTAATAAATCGACCTCATAGAGTGCAGGAGTCAGGATGAAGTCCCCAGCATTCCCATCCCCTATTTATAAGGGTTCCAAAAGTCCTCCAGCTCCCCCTCATTGTGGTCTCTTTTATATTTCAGGAAAAGGCGCCAAGCACCCATTAAAAACTTTTCCTTGGATCCAGAACTATGCATGCACAGTTCCAGAGCTGTCCTATTAGTAATTGGCTGAACTTGACTCAGCCCGCACCCCCATCTGAGCTAAGCCCGAGTTAACCCCATTTACAGACAGCAGAAAAGCACCCCCCCCGCCTTTTTTTTTACAAACTGTAAATTCATGGACAGTTGGCAATTCTGCTTTGCATGGGTATATGTATTTGTCTTCCTGTGTTCATGATGCCAATGCCTGATGTATAGTTTAAAATAACTCCTTAAACACACTATGGACTTATAGGTGGGTTGTAGCACCACATCCCATCATAATTCAGGAAATTATTTATCTACAAATATAAGTTAGAAGTATGCTGAGAATTTTAAGGTGCAAAGGAGCACGTTTTATCCTGACAGTAAGAGTTTTGTATTTCTATTTATTGTCTGACTTTTACTACCAGGCTTCAGCAGGTAAATGAAGATGTTCAACCACGGCTCTTCGATTGTTCCAACAAGACTGGACGCTTTATTGTTACTGAAATCACAGATTTTAACCAAGATGATCTTGACCCAACTGATGTCATGCTCCTGGACACATGGGATCAGGTTAGAAAAGACTGCCAATGACTTGTCAGGGCAGGCATATAGCAGAAATAATGTTCTTTTAGTTTAGTTTCACTTTTGTTTGAGAGTATACTACAGTTAGAACAGATTTCATTTACTATGTAACTAATTATCTACCTGCCCTAATCAGTTATGTTGAATATATGGATCTTTAGATCCAAGGACTGGCCATGTTTTTCACACACTAAATACTATATATATTCTAAAATGGGATTGTGGTTTGACAGTATACTTGTTTCCTTTTAGATATTTCTGTGGATTGGTTCAGAGGCCAATGACGTTGAAAAGAAGGAGGCACCAGTGACCGCTTTGGAATATCTGAACACTCATCCCAGTGGCAGAGACCCAGAAACACCGTCCTAATCATCAAACAGGGATTTGAGCCACCAAACTTCAGAGGGTGGTTTCTGGCCTGGGATCCACTCAAATGGAGTGTAAGATCTAGTATACCCTAAAGATTTTCTCTTGATCATGGAATTTAATAAAATACAGAGACAAGTATTTTATTTCAAATTTCACATCACTTTTCAAGTACCAAGAAAAAAAATACTTATGTTAGAAGTATATATGCCCACAGTTGTGGTTCATTAGTGTTTTTTGGGGGGTGGCTCCATTACTTTGCTTATAAAACTCATGTGCTTTGTAATCAGTATTAACTTGGCAAACAATAAAAGAATATCATGCAGAGTTTAAAAAAAAAAAAAAATCAAACAAAAACACACTTTTCATCCAAGTTTAACACCTTCCTGCCCGCAATCTGTACATTAACCTTCCTTGGTATGACGCCCTGTGTTGAAGATATAGTAATAAATGTTCCCTATTTCAGAGCCAGCAGCCGAAACTTGGCTGCTGGCTCTCAATCCTAGCTGTCTATAACAGCCAGAGTCTCTGCAGACAACCAGGAACCAATAAAGGTCATCTGTGACATAGTGATCACATGTAGGCTGGAGGTTCCACTGACAAAAATGAAAGCGTCAGCCTGCAGATGAATCCCGCCATCTTTTGACACACCTTATTCTTGAGCACGGAATGATGACCAGACCAGAACTGTCTGAGTCCATTAGACTTATTTTGGAGGGAACAGGGAATGAATGGGACATTCTTTTAAAAGGGAGATTGTTGTGATGGTAATGAAGGCATGTGAGCAACCCTCAGGGGTGCAGGTAAGAGTATGCGTTTATGGGTGATGCATTGGTCAGTGAAAAGTGAATCACTGAAACAATATTGTAGCAGTAAAACTGGGTAGAACAGATACATGCAGGAGAACCAGCAGACGGTGATGGTACTTGACTGCCCTGTGTTTGTGAAACGTGGACATACAGTCAGTGGTGTATTTAGGTTTTGTCTTGCCCTAGGCGACACAAAAATCGGACAACCACCCCCCCCAACAACACCCCTGCCCCCCCCAAAGTAACTCACCTTTACAGCTCTGGACATTTATGGGAACGAGAGTTGGGCTCTGCATACACTATCAAGCAGTCCGCAGCCTCTCTCGGTTCCCACCTGGGTCCCCATGCTGCAAATGTCCCTTCCAGGGGGCAGTGCTGCCCCCCTGAAAAAGGCAACTGCCTTGTGGTAAATACACCCCTGCATACAGTAACTAATCTAACTCACATTATAAAGTAATCTGTGCAGCATTCCAATTGTCTGTTTACATCAAATTTTTTATATGAAATGAAATACCTTAAATTGTGACACTTATTTTCATTCCCATCTTTCCTGTAGAGTGGTAAATCCTATGAAGAGCTGAAGAAAGAACTAGGTGATACTGGGGCCATAGAGAAGATTACAAGGGTAATGTCCTAACATGCTTCAATTCTACTACAGCATTGCACTGGTGTTCTAGCCTTCCCATGTAACAGTGCTTTGCACAGGCAAAAATAGCAGACTGATACAGTATGTAAGGGGTGTCAAACTCAATTTCATCGGGGAGGGGGGGGGGGGTGGCCTGGGCACATCAGCATTATGGTTGCCCTCAAAGGACCAGTTGTATCTGTAAGACTAGATCAACACCCCAGAATACTACTTTCTTGGCTGTCATGCTGATTCAGTACTTTTCACCGAACCAGAATGAGTAGATCACAAGCTGACATTACCTGCTGCATACCTGTTCCAGGTCATTGGCTCATTTGAAGCCACTGGATCTGTATGACTGCCAGGTTAGAATTGACAGCCTAGGTAGGTCAACACAGATTTCTTGAAGTAGAGCTAATTGTGTTAACTTAAAGTGGTTGTAAAGGCTCAAGGTTTTTTACCTTCATGCATTCTCTGCATGAAGGTAAACAAAAACCTTCAGTGTGTAGCAGCCCCCCCCCCCCCAGCCCCTGCTAATACTTACCTGAGCCCCATCATGATCCAGTGATGTGAACGAGAGCCTCGGCTCTCCCGGGTCTCTCCCTCCTCATTGCCTGAGACAGCAGCAGGAGCTATTGGGTAGAATAGATACATGCAGGAGAACCAGCAATGCTTGAACATTGTAGACGGTGATGGTACATGACTGACCCGTGTTTGTGAAACATGGACATACAATAACTAATCTAACTCACATTATAAAGTAATCACAGTCCATTAGCCAATGAAGATACAGAGAGAGGGGAAGGGACCGAGCTGCCGCTCTGTATGTGAATGGACACACAGAGCAGCAGCTTGAGAGTGAGCCTGTTTGGGTGCCCCCATTGTGAGCTTCTTGCTCTGGGGGCACTTGGTAGGAGGGAGGGGCCAGGAGTGCCGCTGGGGGACCCAAAAAGAGGAGGATTGGGGCTGCTTTGTGCAGAACCACTACACAGGTAAGTATAGACATGTTTGTTATTTTTTGTTTTAAATTGTCTTCAATATCACTTTAAAACCTCCAGTTACTGTACATGTTCTCTTCAGTTTACATTTTAGTAAATCAGGACCATGAATACACATTTGCCACAAGTGATTATGAGCATTTTTCTGAAAGCTTGACACACCTCAGATAGAACACATGCAGGGTCTGCTGAGTTTACAGTTCTGCAAAGTATTTAAAGCAATTTTAAACCCAAAACCAAAAATATATTGCTGTCATAGATGTGGTGGTTGCATTAGTTTCCTTTTTTTAGGTTCCCCCATGTTTTCACCTGGTGATCTGGCAGTAACAGACCTCCTGTATTATAGTGCCTCCACTCTGGATAAAGGGCACAGCAGACGCAACATTGTCACTCTAGGGGGAAGGGAGGGCAGCGTTAGATGTACTTGTAGATTTAAATACACTAACTGAAACCAAACTCCAGCTAACACTTTATAAGCACTTACAGCAGATGGATTTTGTTTCCTTTTGGGATAAAGGTTTTATGTGAATAAAAGCTGATCATAAGATCATAAGATTCCATTACATTACATCGAGTTTATATAGCGCCAACGGGTTTGCTCAGCGCTGTACAATAGAGGGGGGGGGGGGGGCAATACATGAAACATTACAGCAACTACAAACAGCACACGAGGGGTTATAGGGCCCTACTCTTTCGAGCTTACAATCTAGAAGGGAGGGGGTAGTGGTACAGGAGGAAGTGGCTGTGGGGGATGAAGTGGTAGGAGGAATGAAGGAGAGCAGCAGTTAGGTGAGGGTGGGGTAGGCTTCCCTGAAGAGGTGGGTTTTCAGGGAGCGCCTGAAGGTGAGGAGGGAAGGTGACAGTCTGATGGATTGCGGTAGTGAGTTCCAGAGGATGGGGGAGGACCTGGAGAAGTCTTGCAGACGTGCGTGTGAGGAGGAGACCAGGGAGCAAGATAGAAGGAGGTCCTGTGAAGAGCGAAGGGTACGGGTAGGGTGGTACTTGGGAATCAGGTTGGTTAGGTAGTTAGGGGCAGTGTTGTGAACGGCTTTGTAGGTCAGAGTGAGAGCTCATTCCAGAGCTCAGAGGACTTCTACACAGGCCCAAAAATGTGCAAACCATCAAAGTCAATATGGAATCATCCAGGAATGCTCAGCCGGTGCAGCCCTCCTCAGATGGCAGAATCAAGCAAGTAACTGTAGAAAAAACAAACAGAGAAGGCACAAACGCCTAATGCAATACTGAAAGACTGATTAATAAATGAAACTGAAAGCCAAATGGACTCACACAAAGGAGGAAAAAGTGTAGGCATTATATCACACCAATGACAACTCCAGTATGAGAGACATGTTATCCCTTCGGATGCACCACAATGTTGGCAAGCTAACGTGTTTCGGGGGACACACCCCTTTCCTCAGAGCTCTGAGGAAGGGGTGTGATAAAATATCTATTTTTTTTACTCCTTTGTGAGTATGCATTTGGCTTTCATATTTATTTATTTATTAATAATTCTTTTGGTAATCCACTAGGCATTTGAAATCCCCTGTTTTTTTCTACAGCAAAACCAAGTCATTGTAAGGAAACCTGCTAGTGATAAATGGATTGTCTCATCTCTGTAACTGATACATTCAGCTGAAGAGTTTGTTCTTTTGAAAAACAACAGACTCACTCGCCAGATCCCCAGATGGAAATAGAAGAAAGAAGGCCTAAAACAGAAAATGAATGCAGCCATCACATCTAAGAAGTGGTGAACTGCAATATAATAAATTCTTGCTTTTGGATGTAATACCACTTTAATAACCATTTATTTTTAATATGAAATATGTATACTGTATATGCAGTTTTGAGCTTGTAAGGGGTACATGCAAATGTAAAGGTTGCATCCACTACAGGCAGTGAAAATGGAGGCTTGTAAGTACCATAGAATACTACTATGCTTTGTGTCTTACAGGAAGTCAATGGCGTTGTGCTGTCCCCCAGCTCAAGTCAGAACAGCGTCTATCAGTGTTTTCCCCTTGATGCTTTAATAGGGAAACAGAAACATGAACTGCCAGAAGGTGTGGATCCCACAAAGAAAGAGGTGAGGTCATGAGATGAATGAAGGTGAGATAAGGTGATATACTGTATGTAAAAGGTAAAACTCCAATCTTGCTGAGAAAGATTTGTTACGAAGGTTCGGTTTACCTAAAGTTGATTCTGGTTGGTGCTTGAGAGTTGATGCACCCATAACAAAGAGGCTACACTCCTTGTTATTATGATTATTGTTATACAGGATTTATACAGCGCCGACAGTTTGCTCAGCGCTTTACATTATGGTGGGAGACAGTATACGAGACAGTACAATAACAATACAATTCAATACAAGAGGGGTTGAGGGCCCTGCTCCTTGGAGCTTACAATCTAGAGGGGAGGGGATAGTGATACAAGAGGTAATAACTGTGGGGGATGGAGTGGTTGGAAGAGTGAAGGAGTTCAGTAATTAGCAGAGGGCGGGGTAGGCTTGCCTGAAGAGAGAGGTTTTCAGAGTGCACCTAAAAGTGAGCAGAGTAGGCGATAGACTGATGGATTGGGGTAGGGAGTTCCAGAGGATGGGGGAAGCCCTGGAGAAGTCCTGGAGACGAGCATGGGAGGAGGAGACAAGGGAGCTAGAGAGTAGGAAGGTCTTGTGAGGAGTGGAGAGTACGGTTTGGGTGATATTTGGAGACAAGATCGTTGATGTAATTTGGGGCAGTGTTATGAACGGCTTTATACGTCAGTGATAGCGTTTTGAATTTTATCCGTTGGGCAATCAGAAGCCAGTGGAGGGATTGGCAGAGAGGGGTGGCAGATACGGAATGGTTAGTAAGGTGGATGAGTCTGGCAACAGCACTGAAGTGGGGATAGCCTGCAGTGAGGTAGGCCAATGAGGAAGGAGTTACAGTAGTCAAGGCGTGATATAATAAGGGAGTGAATGAGTTGTTTAGTGGTTTCCGGGGTTAGGAACGGTCGTATTTTGGAGATGTTGTGGAGGTGAAGTCTACATTAGTTTGCCAGCGATTGGACCTGGGGCTGAAAAGACAGATTGGAGTCTAGGATGACACCTAGTACCCTGTTGAATAAAGAAACATTTAGTGAGAAGTAATAGAGACTGCCTTTGCTGATCTCTCCTTCTGAAAATGCTAGCATTCTGGCTGTAATGCTGATCCAATGGTTTGGTGATTTTTTTTGTAGGTCACTGACTTACAGCAGGTGTGCGGATCAGGAACTGAGACTTAACAGATCTGCATGCTTATTTATAAGTCATTGGGGTTGATTTACTAAAACTGGAGAGTGCGAAATCTGGTGCAGCTCTGCATAGAAACCAATCAGCGTCCAGGATATCTTTTTTCAAAGCTTAAGGCTGGCCATACACTATACAATTTTCTCTCCAATGTCTGCCCAATTTCCTTTAGATTTACCTTCAACTATGTAGTGCAAGGGCCTGCCTAATTGGATACAATTGAAAGTGTTTAAGTTTGACCTCATATTATATGGTTTTTGGTAAATCTAAAGCAAAATTCTCAAGAAAATTGTATAATGTATGGCCAGCCTTAGTGAACAAGCTGGAATTAGAAGCTGATTGATTACCAAGTACAGCTGCACCAGATTTTGCACTCTCCAGTTATAGTAAACCAACCCCCGTGTCTCAATGTAGTAAAGCCAGACAGACCGGTAACTAGCATTTGTAAGAATGATGTCGGCCTCTCTGTTTCTTTGTTCAGGTTTCCTATAAAGTATGATTTAAACAAATGTAACCTGATCAAAAGTATAAAATCTGGTACCCATATACAATCAAAAGTCTGACAGGCATATCCAATCCTTTTCTAGTACCTTTTTTCATCTTCTTTACTATAATAAATGGTCTCACCAACTGGCAGGAAAATGCAGAATTGCTATGGGCAGCAGAGTGGCTAAATGGTTAGCACTTGCACCTGGCAGTACTAGGGTTGTTGGTTCAAATCCCAACCACGGCACCACCTGCCTGGAGTTTGCATGTTCTCCCTGTTCCTGCATGGGTTTCCTCCCACACTTCAAAGACATGCTGGTAGGTTAATTGGATCCTGTCTAAATTAACCCTAGTATGTGTAGGTATGAATGTGAGTTAGGGACCTTAGATTGTATGTCCTTTAAGGGTTAGGGACTGATGTGAATGTACAATATATATGTAAAGCGCTGTGTAAATTGACAGCGCTATATAAGTACCTGTAATAAATTTGAGAATCTCAGGTTTTTGGGGGGATTTCTGCAACATTCTTGCAGACGTCTGAAGGTATCCTTTAGATTGTAAGCTCCAGGAGCAGGGCCCTTATATTCCTTCTGTACTGCAATGTATTGTAACTGTAATGTTTCCCTTATATTGTAAAGCGCTGCGCAAACTGTTGGCGCTATATAGATCCTGTATAATAATTGTTTGCGTGGGGCCAGTTTCCATTTTTTTAACAAATGACTATAGAGAATGCAGGTGGGCAAGAATGGGGTCAAGAACTATGGCAGAAACATCTTGCCACAGATTTCGATAAGAAAATATACAAAGCCTGTGGATGACACAACTTTTCATAGTCCACTTAACACTGAAATGTTAGATTTTAGGTGGGGTGACCTTGTAAAAGAGCTGTCAAAGTCTCAGTCTAAGGATCTACTGTACACCATTTAAAACCACAGCCTACAACTGTATAACATACATGTTAGTACATATGTGAGTCACTTGGAAGATATCATCTCTTGTAGAACTGATTATATAATTTGTCATAACAAAGCATACCAAGAAAAATAGTGACATTTTCCAATACTATGTCAGAAGGTATACAAAGATGTAGAGTCATTAATGACATCACATTTCTTAAAGGTTTTTATAATGCCAAAAACCAGCCAAATCTCGTTAATACCCCCCTAAACATATTGTTAGTTGGACTGTTATCCTAGTATTTTTTGCTGATACACACAAGAAAAGATCAGTAAGCTTATAACGAGGTGACCAGAAGATATTCAAAGCACTCTAACTACAGAATTGTGTTCTTAAACTGACCTCTGTACTTCAGCAGAGTCCTTTGCATCCAAAGTGAAGGTGCTACATAAGATTGTTTTATCTCCAGGGCCCGGGGTCAGTAGGGGGCCCCATGAGATGCCCCTGGTACCTTTTTCATAGGATTTTTTGAGTTTGGGCAAGGACACAGGGGCCCCATGTTCCCCTATTGCCCGGGGGCCCCATGAGTTGTCAGTCCGCCCCTGCTCCCAGATGACATTAGATCCCAGTCTCACCCCCAACCTAGCACCAAGTCATGACCTCTAACATTCACTTGTTAAATAGATAAGCCACTGAGGCTCTAATGTTTGGTGAAAGGTTGAGGTTTGCTTAGAGGCAGGACCTTGGAGAGAAGTCAAAGTCCTGTGCACATCCTGAGCCTAGGATCGCAGGGATGGATCTAAAGACTAACACAGGTACCTGCCAACACTCCAGCACCATTGATATTTTAGGCTAGATCAGGTTTACATTTTTTTTTTGTCTGTAACAGTATATGAAAGGATAGTGCCAACAAACTTCAAAGATGTAGTACTGAGGAGGAACTAGTATATTACAGTACTCACAAAATATTTAGATTTTTGATGATTCGCAAGGGAAAAATTCCTAACATGTCACTCTTTAAAATTGTGCATGCTCGTGGAATGGCGACAAACTAAAGTACTTAAAAATTTCCATAGCTGACACTTTAATAGCCTTTACAACAGGGGTGTTCATTGTTTGACTTTCTTGGGTCACATTGGAAGAAGAAGAATTGTCTTGGGCCGTATATAAAATGCACTAACAATAATGATAGCTGATGAATAGAAAAAGTTGGGCAGATCACTGATATAGATACCTATCTGAGTAATAAAACTTCACTTATTGTAAAATCTTTAATTGTAAAAGAGGCCAACATAAAACTAATGCAATATTTGACACTGATTTTGATAAACTAACACATCAACATCTGGTTCGATGTATGTAGTAGCAATTTTCAATGAATTCTCAAGGTCCTCATCAGACATTTTGGCACGAATTTTGCCCGTCGTGTGCTTCTTTGAAAAAAATGTGCTCGCAAATATAGGTGCTGTCAAAAACTGATGACATGAATGAGGCATGATTGTGAAGAGATGGATATTTTTCTTGGGAAGGTAAAACTTCAGTCTAGTAAAAAGGCACTGTAAAATTTTTCATCAGCCGCATGTGTTCACCAAATGTAAATGCATTTTTATAAAAAAAAAGAAAATAATGTTTTTAGGTAAGTTTGCGATTTTGTGTTGGGCTGCCTTCATAGTCGTCTTGGGCCGCAGGTTGGACACCCCTGCTTTACAGGTTACAAATTTAGAGTTACACAGAAGGTCAGACGCTAAAATTATTGCTCTCGCTTAACGTTCAAGGCGAAACCTCCCATGTCTCATGCAGGTAGTCACTAGGATCGCTTTTACATTAAATCCCATCATGGCTGGAAAAAAAAAAAGATACTGGGATGCTGCCTGTAGCTGCAAGTATAACCACTTCAGCCTGGGGACATATGGGTAAAGTAGTTACCTTTACATTGCAGTTGACATCTCCAAGTTCAGATCCTCAAGTGAAAACAGAAGGATAAAAAGTAGGGATGCACCAAAATTTTGGTGGCCGAAACATTTCGGCCAAAAACACCCCTTTTGGCCGATAAAACCCTGCCCCTCACTGCTGCTGCCACCATCTGCCGCTTGGTAGTTCTCAGCCTTACCTGAGAAACCGCTGGGCATAGAGATGAGTTTAGGAAAAATGGCCTCCACTCATCTCTATGCCCTTGGAGTGCCAGAGCAATGTCACTTTTGGTTCTAGAGATTTTTTTGTTTAAAGCACTAGATCAATGCTTTTTTTTTGATCCAATGCTTTACATTGCAGAGGAGAGATGTGGGGTCTTATTGACCCCATATCACTCCATAAAGAGGACCTGTCACTAATTATTTCTATCACAAGGGATGCATGCATTTCTTGTGATAAGAATAAAAGTGATTTGTTAAAGGGACAGTGCAAAAAAACCCCCCCCAAAAACCATTAAATAAATTTTAAAAAACGTTTAAAGTGCCCCCGTCCCCCCACGTAGTGGTGAACGCATACATAGGCCATGCCCACATATGGAAATGGTGTTCAAACCCCACATGTGAGGTATTGCCACGAACGTCAGAGCAAAAGCAATAATTCTTGCACTAGACCTCCTCTGTAACTTTACACTGCTAACCTGTAGAAAATTTTAAAGCATCACTCATGGAGATTTTTAAGTACCGCAGTTTCACATTATTTCACAAGCATGCGCAATTTTAAAGCATGACATGTTGGTTATCCATTTACTCGCCGTAATATCCTCTTTCATATTTTACAAAAACACTGGGGTATATAGTTTTTTTTTTTTTTTTAATCAAAGTGTATTTTTTTTTTCCAAAAAATATAGTTTAATTTTTAAAAACTGCACATTTTGGTTCAGTGCATTTTGAATTTTCGGTTTCGGCACCAGAATTTTCATTTCAGTGCACCACTAATGAAAAGCCTAAGAAATGAAAACTGGTGCATCCAGTACATCTAAGGTTTTATAAGGTGCAACATATTACACATTGTATTGCAAAAAAATGGTGAAAGAAGAACAGTTGTACTACTATATATATGCAGATTGATTGCATTACAGTAAAAAATCTTGACGGTTCAGTTGGGCAGTAAGAGAGATAGAAATGCCTGTTGGCATATTGAAACATCTGTGTACAAGTAGGTTCCTGTTGTGGTCTTTTCTTTGGACAAATGCTGCCAGTGTGTGAGCCTTATCCTAATATCACCATATAGAGATCACTGGAAAGCCCCTGAAAAGAAAGATTATCTGAATGCAGTCTGTGGCTAGCTGGAAAAACTAACAAAACCTAAATAAATTACTGACACCTGTATTTCTATCTTTTGTAATTTTCTGCCTTTACATTCCAGAACTACCTCTCAGACGAGGACTTTGTTACTGCGTTTGGGATGACTAGGGGAGAGTTTTCAGCTTTACCTGCATGGAAACAACTAAGCTTGAAAAAAGGAGTCGGACTTTTCTAAGAATGCCATGCACACCATGCAACCTTGAATCCATGACTGTTATTGACGAGCAGCATTACATTATGTCCAACACAAATTGCTGTCAGGCAGCACTGAACTAAGCTGTGTGAACCTAAACACCAATATATGACAGGATGCTACACTTACTACATACATCTTCTGAGCTGCAGCAACACTGCTTGTGGTATACAATGCGCCATGTAAAATTTGCACTTTTACTGCAGTGTCTCAGCTCTGATCTGCTGCTTGACCAGAATCTGGAACCTCCTGTCCCCCAAAGTTTTCACAATGCTTAGCAATGCTCTACAAGCACTACCTGTGAGTTAGGCACACACTAAGGGCATTCCCTCCTGCCTTATTAAGTGTAAAATACAGGAATTATTTGTTTTAGTTTTATAGCCTGGTATATATTATGGTGCCATGATAAATAAAGTTTACTTGCTATGCCTCTTCGTTGGAACCAAAATATTAAAATATTATTTTGTAAATATATCAACCGTTTTAGATATTAAGAAAATAATCATACCTATTCTATTAAATAAATAAATTGGTGTAGCGCTAAATAAATACTAACATCACAATTATAAACATCACTCATTATACCGTGATTAATAATGTACATCACAATTATAAACATCACTCATTATACCGTGATTAATAATATTAAATAAATAAGTGAATATAATAAAGTGCAAAACACTACAAAAAATACATTTGGATGATTCACTCAATTTAGGGAATCAAAAAATACAGGGAACATAAAAACACAGTGCAAGTGTACAAAAACACACTCAGTGAGAATAAATGTCCACTCCAATGCTATATGCTGCACTTATTATAGTTTTTATGTTCACATATATTTTATGATTCCCTAAATTGAGTGAATCATCCAAATGTATTTTTTGTAGTGTTTTGCACTTTATTATATTCACTTATTTATTTAATATTATTATACACGGTGTAATGAGTGATGTGTATAATTGTGATGTACATGTTAGTATTTATTTAGCGCTACACCAATTTATTTATTTAATTTGCACTTTATGGTTGAAGTAAGGTGTTTAGCGGCTTAGGGTAGGGTTGATCCATTTAAGCGCAGGAGATTGTTCTTTATACATACCTATTCTATTCATGGCTTAACTGCCATACACTTTAAAAAAGAAACCATTAGAACACCTTATATCACATGGTAAGATGAAATTTAAATTTACTTCATGAACACATTCTAACATATTTAATTTTGGGTAGAGTAGGGAATGGTTAAAACGAATTTCCTTGTTTGATATCTGTGTCTCATTAGGGAGATTTCCCTTCATTTCCTGTTCTGTAGACTCCACGTCTAGACTTTTTTGAATGTGATGAAAATTACAGAAGCAAGTGTCCCTATTGTAAAATTTCCCCTATATCCCTGTTCTGATGGCAACTCCTAATTGTGGATTTACCCTTATATTCATTTTTGGTGACACTGGTGATCGGAACAATTATAGAGAATGATTCTATCTAATAGGAGTCACAGACAGCAATGATATAAATGGCGATTCTAACCTTCCACCACTCTGTCCAAGTGTAAACAAAATGTTGTCTTTAGTTGTCCTTTAACCATTTGACTACCACTGTAAGTTTTAAAATGGCAGGTTGCTGAATGTGGTATTCTGAAGCACCATTTTAAAACAGTGCTCTGTTTACTACTTGTGAATACATCTAGCACCACAATAACTGTGATTATGAGATCATAGAGGTTTTGTGCCATGTGATTGCCAATCACAGCTATCACAAAAGGTAAACAATACTACTCTTTACATTTGAGAGCCCCACCCCCTTCTTCTCACAATAGAAGAAGAAGGAGATAATCAGTGAATGAGTCAAGGGATCATAGGAAGCAGCAGGTTCTAGGTAAGAGGACTAATTAATTTGGCTTATGGGATCTTTTGTTTTTAGGCCTCTCAATCCCCAACCTTTTTGAGTGTAAAGCCAGCCATAGACTGACTGACTGACTGAAATTCCACTGGTTCAGCAGGAACCGGTTGAATTTCAATCCATCTATGGGCAGACTATGGGATCAACGTCAGTACAACCAGCCTATTGGGTTTTTCTTCTGATCACTGTCAGTGGCTATAGGCGCCGGCAGTGATGGCTTCACATGCTCCTGACTGGCAGAACACAATAGCATTGTCGGAGTGATTCCCCCATCAACACTGACTGTGTTGTTGGTGAAATCAAGCAATGTTCTTTCCTTCTACCAGTGGTTGAAGGAAAGAAAATTGCATACTGTCTGGCCTGTTTAAGCTGTGCATCTTATTTTCATTCAATATATTTACACCTTCACCTCCTTTATCCTGCACAATAACCCCCTCATCTCAGTACCAGCTGTTAATAAAATACCACCAAAAGAAAACTCTGTCTTTAAACAAAAATGATATGAAAATTTACTGAATTGTCAAAATATTGCAGCGCTGAAAATAGAAGGGGTGTTATTGGCTATACGCAAGTGTTTAAAAAGTTTATAAATTGAGTTGTAGCTAAATACAGCTAATAAAATCTACAGCCCAGTATTTGAGTGTTCAGAATATACTGTCTACCTGCCCCTACTGATGTATCATGCTGACAAAGTAAACTTTCCAGGTAAAGAATATATTTTATAATGCATATTGGCAGCTGAGCCAGATTACTACTAAAGTACGGCAAGCTGTTAAGTCATGGTCATAACATTAGCCAAAATCTAAATACTGCGGGTAACAGAATCATAGAGCCTTAAGAAGAAAAAAAAAAAACAAACAAAATTGAATTCAATCACATTTGCACTACTAATTGCAGGACTTTGGCTATTTACTAGTAATGGGCGCAGAAGATAAGTACAGTATAAATACAATATTTCCAAGATGCAAAGTGTGTGCAGTAATGAGTAGGTGGGAGATAGAGAAGCAGGCCTACTATAGGAATCAATGGTGAATCACTCATAAAATCAATAATTCACTATCTTGAAAAGGGAATGCTAACAACACAGTTGAGTCAGTAGATGTAACATTTGCTATATTATAAATATAGGAAATTCATCCTATTGCAGAATGGGAAATCCAGACGTCATACTAATTTAACTAGATTCAGTGAGCACATTGCCCAAATTTTGGGGACCAGTGAACCTGTCATTTGCCACTTTGCCTATTTTTCTGTTTTACAGAGATCTGTGGTTTTTCTGATATTGCAATACAATTTTATGTGGTCATGACCTTCTTTGAGACAGCACAATTCACAGAAATCAGAATTCACCTTGATCAATTTGAAGCAGTTAGAATAACTAAAGCAACAATCATATACGTATCTTTCATTATTCTGTTTGCCTTATTAAATAAAGAAGTGAACAATTTGACAATCTAAATGTTATCATAGAGAGAGGTGGCCTACAACCCACTGAAAACCTATGAACCTATTATGAAAAGGCTTGTCCTGTAGGCACATTGATCTTCAATATGAATGTCCACGGTTTTATAAAGACTATATCGTCCATGATGCCCCAGTTGTCTGACAACCATTATATGGTCATAAGTGGAGGAAAAGGGTTAGCAAAGCCAATTTGGCTGAAAGCAAATAGGTAGCATGACCCTAAATTTCTTTTATACATATATCAACTTGCCATTTTTTTTCCTAGTCAAGATAATTCCTAAAGCTTATTATCTGATCAAGGCTAACATTTTGTTTTAGCTCTGGGTCATGGGGCAAGAAAACTGAAATATCACTTAGTGGTAATTGATTTTTCATATAACCTATAGGACAACACATTCTAGAGAGGGATCTGCCCAGATGTAAGGCCACTTTCATATGAGGCAGACTCCATTCTGATGACCTGGGGATTCACTCACAGATGCCTTATTGGTCAGAGCAGAGCGGGCGATGACAGGTCTGTGGCTGCTCAGTTTAAACAGACTCTGATCTGTGTTTACACACAACTATCTTCTGAACTGCCTACATGAAGGACAACGGATACCCTTCCGTTTGCTTTTAGTGGACCAGTCAGATCGGAGGTAGGTGAGTGTAAATGGACACAAGTCCATTTACACCAGTCAGTCCATGAGAATGAATGGACTATCCACCCAGGTCCGCCTGAAAAACGACAGGTGGACCTGATTGGAACGGTAATGTGAAAGAGGGCTTAGGGTTTAAATTGTTTTCCCGATGTAATCTTGATTTGATCCAGAACACAAAGACTATACAAAATAGAACAATAATCCTATTAATTCATGATGGTATCTTGGATGTGTGCAAGGAATCTATGTAGAAAGACAATTACCAGAAAATGTAATTTTAGTTTTATTGCATACACACCATGACAGCACACATTTAAACAGATTAATATATTGAAAGGAACCTGTAAGCAAAAGTGCATAACATAATTTTACTGGTAAAGTACAAGCACTGTGTGGTGTCACCAGGTACCTGCTCTTGCATTCAGATCAGTGCCACTGTGACTTTGGAGGATGCTAGATCCTAACTGTAGAATTGAAACCCTGACCTCCCTAGCATTAACCCCTAACTCCTCAGCCATTCAACAGTCAAAAGTCTATAATCACCAAGTCTCAGTTCTGAATGACTTCCAATCAACTAGGTCCTAGTTGTCTAAGGCTGATAGATGAGTCAGTTTTTTATCCTTCAACCAGTGTGTTGAATGAAAAATGAATCCATTCCCACATCCACACATTTGAGGTGGATGGGGAAATCTTCCCCACGGTCTTTGTATTCTGACAGAGGGGAATCTTCCCTGACATCAGAACACACTGATCAGTGCTTCAGTCTATTGATTGCACGCTCATTTAGCAAAAAAAAAAATACCTACAAGGTGGTTGGACAGAAGTCAGTTGATAGATCGACACCACAGTGACCAACATGGATTGAAATTCAGCTGGTTCCCTCTAAACAAGATGGAATTTTGATCCATGTATAAGTAGCTTGAAACAATAAAAATGGTACTGGTGCAAAACAGACAGGATCAGCTTGTCAAGCTCTAG